GGTACGTTTTTAACGATTTCTCGACAACGATACAACCTATCGACTTGATTCCAGTCACATTATCCGTTTCAAGCTATAGGTAATTGAATGGCATACTTTAAAAAATCACAATTTTTGGTGTAAATACAGAAATTTTTAAAATATGTCTATGGACCATAGCATGCTATAATTACAAATGGCATCAAAATCCGATTTTTTAAAAACATTTAAACATGTGAAAAATCAAAATCTCCAAATGTATGCCAAATATTTTCTAAGGATTTCCATATCGATATGTCGATACTACAGATCATAGATCATCTGGTATACGTGGAAATAATTAAACATTATCCATATAGCCACTACGAATCTGTTTGGACATAATTCGATACTACAGACTGTATCCCAGTCATGGTTGATTTAGTAGAATAAATCATCTGAACTCCAGAACGATTTGGAGAACTTAAAACATCTGGTATACATGGCAATAGCTCATGCATGATTCACATAGACACTGTGCATCTGTCTGGAAATATTTCGATATTAAAGACATTGTCCCAATCTCGGTTGATCTAGTAGATCAAATTATCTGAACTCCAGGACGATTTGAAGAATTTACATCTGGATTACTCCGAAATAGATCATGCATGATCCACATAGACACTTTGAAACTGATTAGACATTTTTCGATACTACAGACATTATTGCAGTTTTGGTTGATCTAGTAGAAAAAATCAAATTTGTAAAACCTATAATTTTCAGTACACATAGTAATAAGTCGTGCATGATCCACAAAGTCACATATATATGATTCGGTTATGATTTGCCAACGAAAATACAATGTCTCGCCATTGAACAGACCCCAAGGAATATCTGTGTAAATACAGAACCGCGACGTGACCAACAAGTGTGACTTATGAAACTCTTGTAATTTCTCGATTATGTGCAGGGTGTTTGGTTTGAATCGGTCAAAAATTGAGAAAACTAGCGCCAAATTAACCTGGGGGAAATAACGGCTTTGGCATGACAGACTATTTTCGGCAACCCAAATTGAAACACTATTTTCACTGGATTTTCTTACGAAAACACTTCGCTGAATGCATGCAAACGATTCCTCATGCTTTCAGCTTCAATTTGACTATATTTTTACCACTGAGAAAAAGCAATCTAGCAAGGTTTTCTTGAAATGCAACACACGCACTACAAATTGTAGCTGATTTCGAGTTGCCGATAATAGAACAGCAGATTTATGTACATGCAGTTCAAATGGAACGGTTGCCGAAGAAAAACTGGTTGCCGACAATACTCGCTCTCACTAGAGAAGATTGGAGCTTTGTAAAAGCGTTTCAAAACAGTTTTCGACAATTCTTTCGACTGAAATTGTTAAGAGTAGCTGGCAGCAAAAGATTGTAAACAAACCAATACTGCATATGTGTGCATTCCTTAGAGAAAAATGCTATAGAAAGAAGGTCGCTGCTTAGGTTGCCGAGAATACGTAAATTCCCCTACAACATTTAGGACAGCAAAATACGTCAGAGACGCAAAGGTTAACTTTCAAGAAAATTTGCATTTCAAATGAAAATGCATTTTTTTTTAAATAATGCTTCATCAAATCTAGGCCTGTATTATTCAATAGAAACATTCATAACTAGGGGGCGACCCCGGCGTAGTGGTTAACAGCCATACCTCTCACGTCAAAGTCACGAGTTCAAATCTCGCTCCCGGACAAGTCACGAATGACTCAAGAGTGTTAAAGTGACTATAATAATAATAATTAAAAAAAAAAAAACATTCATAAATAACTGATTTTTTTTTTCAAAGGATATAAACGATACTCCTTTAGCTCAGTCGGTAAAGGCGCAGCTACAAAGCGAGGCCATGCTGGAGGTGACTGAGTTCGATTCCCGTTCGGTCTATTAATTTTTCGGGTTGGAAAATTTCTCTACTTCCTTGGGCATAGAATGGAACAGGCATAGAAAGCTCTCAAATCAATGTGAAGGTACTTCAAAGAACACTAAGTTCAGAGCAGGCAAAATCTAATATGCTATGTGCAATAAGCTTGAAATGCCATGTAGTTGTATACAAATGGTATTTTTAGGTAATGAAAACATTTTTTTTTGTCGCGGATTAGTATTTGAAGTCGCGGATTTCTTTTGAGAAATCGTGGATTTCGCGGATCAAATTTAGAAAATATTGTAACAGCCCTGGAACTGGCTGGGCTTATTGAAGATCATGGCCGCATGTAAAAGCCCGCACGTTCCATAACACCTTCTAGCGCAATGTTAAACAGGAGACAGGAAAGGCCATCGCCTTGTCGAAGTTCTTTGCGTATTTCAAACGGGTCGGATATCGATATCTTCACGCAGCACTGTACATCATCCATCGTAGCCTTAATCCATAGCTATTCCATAGCTGTTCACGGTCTACAGTATCGTAAGCGACTTTAAAATCGATGAATAGTTGGTGTGTATCAACTTGATATTCACGACATTTTTGGAGGATCTACCGCAACGTGGAGATTTGGTCCGTTGTCGATCGCCCGTCCACAAAACCGGCTTGATAACTTCCCACAAATCTGTTTACTAGCGGCGATAGACGGCGGAAGATGATCTGGGAAAGCACTTTGTAGGCTGCGTTGAGAATGGTGATCGCTCGATAGTTCTCACATTCTAACTTGTCACCCTTCTTGTATATTGGGCATATTACCATATAGGTAACTAGGTAGGTACCTACATCATTTACCTGTTCATGCTCGGAAGAAACATTCTAGGGAATGAAACCATTTACATCCTTGTCCAATTGCCAACGCAAATAAGGGAGGTTGTAGTCACCCAGATATACAATGGTGTCAGCGGCGGAAGCACAGTTTACCAAAAAGCTGCAGCGGTAGCGTTAGGTAGGCACATGAGCAGTGCGCAAAACAGTCAGGTTCAATGAGTCATGTTTATATGAATATGAACATCCGCCTCATCATTCACTGCTATGATGGGGTTTGATGGTGATAGTTTGAATGATTGGGAAGCAAACGAGTCACTGACAGCAGAGCACCCAGTCAGTAGCTCAGTCAGCACGTTTATTGTTCCGTGATGGTACCCAATCCTTGTTTTGAATGACTGAGCGTACATTGTCTATGGAAAAATGCCTCAATTACATGCTGTGTGAGCGAAGGCAAGTGATGTGAGTCGCCCCTTCGTGAGTGACAGAAGGTTTTTGTTGGCTCTTTCATTGCCTCGTCTTTTACCATTTGGTACATACGGTCTGGATAGAGCAATGAATTGAATAGAGCAGTGCCTTCACACTCAGCCTAAGCAGTCAATAATTTTACGCTCTGCACATAAGTTTTGTATAAGGCAAATTGACTTCTCGACGCAATATCTCACTAATACAACCTAGTGTAGTGTAGCCGTGTAAAATCGATTTGTTTTTTTTTTCAACCACGAAATCAGCTGTCAAAGTGTTTGACATGACAGCGGTTTGTTTTTTTTTTCAACCAGTAAAACGCATGTATTAGTGAAACTGCTCACTAAGGGCCCATGCATTAATTATGTCACGCTAAATCGAGGAGAAATTTATCCCCCCCCCCTCCTATCGTGACGTTTTTCCTATACCTAAATCATTGCTTGTCACAAAAACTTAGACCCACCTCCCTTAGAGCGTGACATAATATATGCATCAACACGAATACTAACGGTGGTAGAGAACTCTATAGCGATAAAGTAAAGAGACCGAGAATCCAATCGGACGGCGACTTGCTCGAGATGGTCACAACTCAACAGGAATATACTACCCATAATCGCATATCAGTCCCATCTTTGCTTGATTTCCTATCCATATGGGACTGATATGCGATTATGGGCAGTATAGCTTCACATAATTATCCTCCTGCGGCAGTTTTGTTATGGCAGCTTTTTTTTTTCAATTCACAACAAAACATATTTTTTTGTTTCATCGTTGCCACAACAATACGAATGTTTAACTTACCTGAAAAATGTTTATCATGTAAGCGTAATAACAATTATATTTTTTACGAAGAAACCACTTTGTTGTTTTGATACCGTTTGGAATTGTCAAACTGTACTGAACTGAACTGGAAATGAATTATTTCAGTGCTAACATTTGAAAACGGCGCAAAAGCCATTTGTAAACAAATGGTTTGTGGGCCCTTTACTCGCTACCCGAAGAACGCTCACGCAAACCAACAGCATCGTCAGGAAGGAGAAAATTTCCCCTACCCGATGTTGCTGTTGTGTCGCGTGGGTGTACTTCAAGTAGTGAGTAAAGGGCCCACAAACCATTTGTTTACAAATGGCTTTTGTGCCGTTTTCAAATGTTAGCACTGATTTATTGCAACGATAGGAGCAAACGGTTATGTTGAAGGATCATAGATGCGCAAGAAGGTTTATGTACGATTCTATGAAATTGAAGTGCATATTTTTTGATGAAATCAATTGCATATCAAATTATGATAAAATTCGGTAATCCTAAACGAAAAGCATTCCTCGATTTTTATTCAATCATTTATTGAAGCATAATGTCAAACTTAAATTAAAGGTATTTATCACATTTCTTTTATTATTTCCAAAAATGTACCCAATTTTGTGGTGCATCATTTTTGAAGCCCTATTTAGTCAAATATTTACCAAAATTCGAGATTCGCAGTTTAAAATTGGGGTATGCAACTCTAAAAAAGATGATTTTTATTTATCAATGGAGAAAATGATGTATCTTATACTCCCACTAGCAATCAAATTGTCAAATCATCAAAAAGAAAAAAAAAAATATTTTTGCTAATTTTACCTACGAGTGAGATTTTGTTAAAACAGTTTTAACATGGTTTGGATGCAATGTAAATTTAAATTTTCAATTGTGGAAGTGCTCACAGAATATTAAGTAGACTGGCCTACTGTTTCAGTTGGAACACATCAGCAAAGAAAAAGATGTTTATACTTAAACTTATCAAATATTGAAACTTTTTTCATGTCATTATATTATGTTTCGTTATTGATTTATTGTATTTTCAGTACCCACAGCTGGACATGTGCAAATATCTAAACAAATCCGACGAAGTAGACAAGCTCATCGAACGTGCCAAAGTTCAAAAATCAATAGCTTCAAGCAAACTGCTTCCGGACTCAGTCAATGATCTTCCTGCAGACGCTCAAGATCTCCTGAAGCGATTGTTGGAAGCTAAGCCCCAGTACCGCCTCCGTTCCCTTCTTCAACTTCAACGTATTGCTTTGTACAAGAATTTCAACTGGGATGATGTGCGGCAGAAGAAGGTAGGCAATTAAAATTTACACATCACTTCTTGAGTGTGAAAAATGCGGATCTTCGATCTTCCATACTAATTATCATTTGTCATTTGCCGGATTAATTTGATTATAATCTGCTCATTAATATTTCCTGATCACACGTTGCACAATTAATATTTTTTGTTATTCCTCACTGGTAGATTTCTCCGAGACAGATGATCGATGCAGAGGCGCTGGAGCCGGAGGCTGACAAATCATTCGATTTGTTTGATTGGTAATTATCGGCATCTCTCGTGTGTTTTGCTTCCAAGTAAATCTACGAAAAACAGTGTGTTGTTCTTTGCGCTATGCCGGCTCAACGAGTTGAGCGGTTTGGCGAATAATTGCTGCAATTGGAGACTTTTGCAAGCTCAACTTTTCTAGCTCTAACTTAAGCGGTCAATATGTGTGAATGTGGATAAGCAGATTAAAACAGCAGAGTTGGTTTTTTGTTGAGCCGACCATCGATGGGAAAACAATGTAATAGTCTATCATCGATCTGGAGGGACTGAAGGAATCTTCACGCTGAGTGCGATTTCTTTCAACGGTTAAAGTAGAAGTGCCATTATTTGTTAATAATCGTTCAACCTTCGGGGCTCTGTAGTAGATAGAATCTCCATCTCCAGTTGCAGCAGTTGCAGACGATGATTGCTTGAATGTAGACAGAAAACCTCGATCACAACGATGATAAATACTGGCGGCTGGATTGATGACAATGACGATGACGATGACGATGATGATGATGATGATGATGATGATGATGATGACCACGATTTCAGTATCTAGTTTAATGACCTATCCGTCCATATATTTATAAATTAAGAAGGGTATAAATGGTACATTTGGCTAAATAAAATGTTTTAAGAGCACAAAGTATTTGACATTTTGCAGTAATATCACAGTACAAATGCTAACAAGTTATAATGAAATAATTTTAAGTAGGGGTAGTAACGTCTTCGTTAGTTTTCGCAGGAGGTTTTGTCTATAAATTAAAAAATTTAACGTAATTCCAAGCAAATAATTTACAATAGGGGAGAGCTGACACCCATTTATTTTGAATTTGGGAGGAATAAAAAAAAAACAAAGCAAGAGGAGATTTTATGAGACAGTTAAAATACAGAACTTTTTTCTGTGTATGGGGAAATTTTTGTTATGCCATTTCACCATTCCGATTCAACCGTTGAAGTAAAATGTAAGTCGTGTGTCATTTTGACATGATAAAGACATTTTTGATTCCAGATTCATTTTGGCGTTGTGGATTGTTATTAATGTTGTTTTGCATCAGTGGATGGAAAACTAACACATCATACATAAAAATGCATTAAATTGACGTTTGAGCAGTTTTTACACGTTTTAAGCTGGAATGATTTTTTTGGCGTTGTGAGTATGAGTGCGTAATGCATGAGAGTTTCATAGATTTTTTGCCTCAGAATTTCCCTGCAGCGCCGACTGGGATTGAACCCAGGCTTGATGAGGAGAGATGTAATCACGCTTACCACTACACCACTGGCGCTGCGACGACTCCTCATACTTGCGTATTTGTAATTTCGGACTCAATATTCATGATCAGTTACTAACTAAATCTGGGGCCTCATGTCGCAAGTTGAAACGACAAACTTTTTCAAACAAGCGTTCATACAAAAAATGCTTCGTTTCGACTTGTGAAATGAGGCCCCTTGTTTATAGCATCCATCAATTTATGTTTTAAACATATTAACCTATCTTGAGCAGTTGGTGGTCATCAATGAAATAAATACCGATTTTGGTTTTATCACAGCCCATGATGTGGACTTATAGAATGCTTTAAACCATGATAAAACCAGCAATAGTACTTGGGTTCAGTCCTGAGTTCTAATGCTACCGACGCCAGGGAGGCAGCTTCCACACCTGGACCTTACGTATCGACCCATCAACTCATGAACCGGAGACCAACGGTTTTTCTTCCCTTCCAAAGGAAGGCGTGATCAAAGATTTTATGGCTCAGAAAATCCCAACGATGCCGACTGGGATTGAACCCAGGCCCTTTGAGGTGAGAGGCAAACACGTTTACCACTACACCACAGGCACCACTAATTTTCAAGGTTTGTAACTTATAAAAATCTTGGTGATCCTGAATAAAAAAAATCAATCTAAGACTAAGAAATAAATCAGGTATTTTGTAAAAACAATTTCGAGGTTCCAGATTTTGCCCTGAAAAAGTTCAAATCTTTGAAACTCCGAAGATTTTTTATAGGATTCTAAACTTTAAAGATTTTATAGAATTCTGCAGAGTTTTTAAGTTTTGGGGAAGGATTTAAAGGAATTAATGGAATGAAGAGGACGATGTCTACAAAAATATAGGAAACACTCTTAGAGACTTCTGACCAATATTCCAAGATAATTTTGAAATATAGTCCCAAGAGATTTCATGAATTCCAAGGGATTTCTGTGGAGAAGAATTGAAGTCTTATGTGAATCTGATGAATTTAATGGGAATTGTGAGGAAAATAACAGGATAATGTCTAGTCGAATTCTAAGCGAATTTCAATTAGAGTTCAAAAAAGAATTATAAGTATATTTAAAAGGGTTAAAAATTCGCTACAAGAGAGAGTGTATCCAAAATTGGTGTTTCATCAATCGTAAACAAACATTTAATGTTTGTTTACGTTTCATGAAGCATCAACTTCCTCATCGTCGCCCACTGGTCACCATAGCCGGTTGAACTCCAGACAAATCTAGAACCGCACTACCATTCATACTGGCGACGTCGCTCTGATGACACGACGAACCCCTACCCCCAAACTCCTCCTCTTTTCCTGTCCTTCGACAATGTACCCCTCTAACCACGGGTAAGCCGCGAGTATTGGGCCCAACTCCTACTAGACATAGAATTAAGTTAATTTTGTTACAAACAAAGAACAATGAATTATCGGCTCCGTAAAGCTAATGCGATTGAGTCTTACAAATAAACGAACAAGATAAAAAAAAACTAAGCATCAAATTTGGTCCCCTCCCGCTTGTAGCGTATTTTTGTACCCTAAAATACTGCGTCATGTATGCATCTTCTCTAAATAGAAAATCTCGTTCCTTGTAATACTACCTACACACTAAATTTTTGTGAACCCTCCAGCAAATCGAGGTCAAATTTTCCTCATACAAAACTACCATACTTTTAGTTAATATTGAACCATTAACGTCAAGAAGGGAAACTATTTTCCAACGTACTAACATTGTTGCTAGTGTATAACCGTCCAACACCATTGCCAATGATGAGTCTATTTCCAATGACAGCGACCGAACTGCATTATGCCGTTTCTATCAACACGTGTGACTTCCAGACAAATTGATGTTAATTGGATTGCTTGAACAAAATTATTTGTGTCTGATTAGAAGCTGCTCTACCTGTGTTGGATGGATGTGAATCTGAATGGAGAGGATTTTATTTTTTCCCGGAAACGGCTCAGCATTATTGAAAAATTAGTAAATCACAATAATGGCCAATAATTGAGCAGCGGCGAGCGGTTTTCAATGAATGAGTGAATGAAGGCTAGGTGCGGGTGGGTATTGTTTTATTGATTTCTGCTCGCTCGTGTTGTTTATGATGATGATAGAAAAAATGTTCGGAATTTCGGTTGAGCGCTTGGCATAAAGCAGCATAAAATCGTGATGTGGAGAATTTGCGGAAGTATATGGCAAAATAATTAAACTGCTAGAGTAATCTAAGGGTCGGGTTCGTAATGCTTGGTTAGGAGGATTAGATTTGATCTATAGATGATCCTTCAATAAAGTTCCTTGCTGAAACGTTTATTATTAGTACTTCAATTGTAGTTAAAAGATCTTATTAAAAAGTACTGAATCATCATATAGCACAAAACACGTTGAGAGTTCAGGGGGCCTGGGCCGCCTCCCTGACATCGGTGATTGGTACTTGAGTTTACAATTCAATTATTCGTGTATGGTTCTTCACTCATGTTTGAGCAATTTTGCAATTGTTTTTGAATTGGATCTATTTTTTGTAATTCATTTTCAACGACCTTGTATAATTTTGAAATCTACACCAAACCTAGATAACAGATTTACATGAAAAGTATGCCTAATTTGGAATGTTTCTTGACATGAGCAGTTTCTGTAATGTGGTCGCCGGAAGGTTTTTAAAAAAAATTGTAACTATTAAGTTAGCTTATTTTTCGAACAAAGCTTGTTTCCCCAAATGCATTGCGTCTAGAAAATCATCTCGTTTTATACAAAAATATGCATTCTAATAAAAAGTACTTGTACGCTGCAGCCCAGTGCAAGAACTGCTGTTACATTTGTTGCATTAACATGTGCGGAGGATGTCATAAATCCAACCTTACATTGGATGTAAGAGAAATGTAATTATTGTGTAGTTCATTTAACAATAGTGTTATTAATAATCTCTCAAACCCCCATCATCTGATACTGAAAAATGCTGAAACTATCGCAACTCCGTCATTTCTGAACAGATTTGTTTATCTATCCATCTTAAATAAACAGCGAAATGTTATAGGTAGCAATACCAACCCTATACCTATAGGGGAAACAGTGCTATTGTTGCGGTAAGTTAGAAACGCTAGAAGCCTATTGTTGTATATGGAGGTCTCCATACTCAACAATAGGCTCCTAATGCTTCTAACGTATTGCAACAATAGGGCTGTTTCCCCTACCTATTGAAGAACTTACAAACATACCACCAAAAGCATCATGCTTTTGAAACGTGGTGTTTAAGCATAAATCCACCTCTACGACAGCAACATCCTCTGTTGACGGTTTTTGAGTCTACAACTTTGAATCATTTGATGCCGAAAACTGGCTGCGTTCTGTGAGCGCAAGTTCTACTATATGCATGCTTTCTGGCATTGCCGCATGCATACGGTCGATCAGACCAACTCAAAATTTCGTCAAACGTTGATTTACTCAAACTTTTCGAAGATAAAGAAAATCGAAAAAGGCTTAATTAACACAGCCAATGAGATCAACCCAAATTTGAGTCCAGTTTACTCAAAATCGCCAAAAGTGTAGGACCTCAGCGATGAGTAAATTTGCCTAATGTTTTCGCGTGGAAAACCTAAAAAAAATTACTGGAAAATGAGGAAAATTGACGAAAATTTTCCTCAGTCTAGAAGAAGTACCTATAGATTGAGAGAATCCAATCTTTACCTTTCTCATATTCTGGATTTTTTTCCTGGACAATCCTGGAAAAAAATGAAGCAAATTTACTAATTGCTAAGTTCCTGCACTTTTTGCGATTTATTGCGATTTAACTAAACTCAAATTTGGGTGTTCTCATTAGCCGTGTAGTCTATTATTCACGGCCGTTGAGCCTTAAGGCCGGCGCACAATTAGGTTTTGCACCGTCGGGGTTAACCTCAATCTGATGACAGTTCAGTGGTACTGTTTACGTGGACTTAGTCATTTTTTTCTTGGGTGGATTTTCTCGATAATTTTTCAGACTGCAGTGAGATGCAAACCACACTTCTGCAATGTCCACGAGCAACATCCTTGCAATGCGATGTTCCTCGACAATTTTCAAGTTAAATTTTTTTTTTCGAAAAAACGACTAAGTGCTTGTAAACAGTACCACTGAACTGTCAAAAAGGTTCAGCCGGCTAACACTGAGTTCATTTGTGATGTCACGCTGCAGTACCTAATAGATACGTTTTCGGGTTTTTTGACGTATCTATTGTACGCCGGCCTTAACTCATATTCGAGTTCCGTTAATTCAAGGTCAATAACTAAAAACACAGGTCACTGAGTAAAATATATCTCGATTTTCCTGGAAAAACTTTTCGAAAATGAGGAAAATCA